TTATTCAGTAAAAGGACTAGATGTTATAGTCCCTGATATTGCATTGCTTTAAATGGAGAGAATCTTGAGGGATGGCTGTTATGAGGAAAGGCAGCCCACAAACTACCGGCAGCACACATCGTTGTGTGCCTTAACTTTCGGTCTTTTGCCCAAGCTAATCTGCCATTTTTGGGGATTAGAGATCTGATCTAGATTATCATATCGTTAGCTTCATAGCATAAGTGCCTAAGTCATTTTTTGGTCAAATTGAGATTTTTGCCTAACTTTACTCCCCTACCACTGCTGCATCATCCTGTCCGTCTGCCTATGTCATCACAAAAAAATGACTTAGGCACTTATGCTATGAAGCTAACGATATTAAGATTTGGTACACATCGTCAGTAGTGGACCTTGGATTCATCGGGTGTTTTGGCCATCATCACAAGACACCCTCATCCAAGGAGGCCCTGCCAGGGTTGATCAGGCCCTGGAGTGTGTCACTGGTTTATGTCAAATTGTTATTTCATTTCTCCTCTTCTTTCTTCTGTTTAGTTTTCTACAGTTTATTTTCTCCTATCTATTCACTGCATCCAAAAAATAATAAATATTACCTCTTTAGCATTTATGGAGCCTCACTTTTTCAAAGGGATAGAAAAGGTGATAAAGAGAAGTAAGACAAAAGGGAGAAGAGAGGAGAGCCGGAAGGGGGGCACCCAATCTGACTTCCGACACCTCCCAAGTCCCCGCCGTATCGGGCTGTACGCTCTACCTCCCCACTGCCTCCCAGAAAAGGGAAGAAGAGCGGAATATTTTCTTCTCGTGCGGTTAGCTGACTGCCTTAGCTGCCCAAGTGATGTTAGCCCTTTTTAACCATAGCCAGTGACTGGTCCTCTTAGCAGTGTTAGCTAATTCTCTTATAGCCTGCTGTTGTGCCTGTCCTCTGATCGGCGATGACAATATCCCGTCCCTATAGAGTCCAACGCTGCTGAGGCATTTGGGAAGTCTGAGCCAATTCTTAACGTAGGAGCTCACTAGCCACTCTAGTCGATTGGCATGATTGAGTGAGACCTCATACATTGTCAACGGCCACAGTAGTCTGGGTAATAACCCAAACTGGAAGCACCAAAGCTTCAGTTTCCCTGGGAGTGCAGTGTTTTTAATCCGCTTGAGGTCATTAGCCATTTTCTGCCTTAGTTGTTCTAGTTGCCACGAATCATTGAGGTCTGCATTATACCACCGTCCCAGGCTCTTTATGGGCTTCTCTAAGACTGTTGGAATTGGTTCTCCACTGAAATAGAATTGCTCGGCTGTCAGTTTTCGTTTTATGATGGAGATGCTGTGAGATTTACTTGGCTTAAACTCCATTCTTGTCCATTCGATGTTTTCCTGGAGCTTCTGTAGCAATCGCCTAGTACATGGTTTTGTTGTTGTAATGATGGTCATGTCATCCATGTAGGCTCTAATGGGAGGAAGACGAAGGCCACTCTTGAGTCTCTCGCCTCCCACTACCCACCAAGATGCCCGCATGACCAACTCCATTGCCATAATATATGCCAGAGGGGAAATCGTGCAGCCTGCCATAACCCCAATTCCCAGGTGCTGCCAGGCTGTGGTGGTGTTCTCAGCTGTCACACAAAACTGTAAATCTTGAAAGTAGGTCTTGACCAGTCTTGTGATGTGGTTTGGTACGCTGAAATAGTTGAAGGTCATCCACAAGATCTCGTGCGGAACTGACCCAAATGCGTTGGCAAGGTCTAAAAAGACCACGTCAAGGTCTCTTTGTTCTTTCTTGGCAGTTTGAATCTGGTGCCAGATGACGCTGGCATGCTTCCACAGGTATTTGAGGACTCGTGGGGGTGTTTTTATAGAGCCTATATGAGATGCCATTAGGTCCTGGAGCCGATGCTGCTCTTGCCTGCTTCACTACCTTCTCTACGTCACTCCATGTAGGTGGTCTTTGACCATTTTGTGTCCAGGTGCCTGGATAGGCGGCATATTACTCGGAATGGTAACTGGCTCGTGCCTTGGATCCTCAGAGTAAGTTTTTCTCGGATGATCTTCCAGGTCTTTAATGGGCATTTTTAAGGCACCCGCTCTTCTCTTCAACAAAAAGGCCCCATAACAAAGTTGTATGGGTTGCTGTAGAAAAGGCCCTCCTCCACTGTTTCCTCAGTTGTCTTCTCTCTTTCACTAATCTGTCAATTTCCCACAGTCTCCTGGACTTTAACTGGTTACTCATTGGCTCTGGGCCACAGAATCTGATCTTTCCTACCTTCTATCTTCCTTTCCCTTGCTGGTAGTGGTTGGCTAGACTCAGTGTTGGAAGATTCTGTTGGTTGTTTCTGGATGAGCTCTGGGCTGGAACATGGTGTTGATTATGGCTGGCTTACATCTGTACACAAATCAAATCAAATCACTTTTATTGTCACATCACATGTGCAGGTACATTGGTACAGCACATGTGAGTGAAATTCTTGTGTGCGAGCTTCACA